GCAATTTAATTTGAGCGGGTGATTGGTCACTGAATGATAAACAGAGGACAAGAAGACCGAGAGACAGGAGATCGGACGGAAACGTTCGATGGTGTCTGACGTTGTCGAAAAAGACAGACGTAGAGTGACATGTGAATTTTTAAGTTTGTCTTATGCTACTGTTAAAAAAATTTTGACAGAGGGCTTAATTATAAAAAAGTGAGTGTGTAATGGTATCCAGGATTTCTTAAAGAAAGTGGAATTGGTGAAAGTGTTTGCGAATCACAAATATTTTTTTTTTTATGAAACGAAGGAGAAACGCTTAAAACTATGACGGCGTGTATCCGTCATGTGACGTTATATTTAGATGCGGCGACTACCATAAACGTGCATTGTTTAAAATCCGATATTTTGAAAAGTATACATCATATTCCTTTGAATTTTTCAGGCCTAATTTGAAATAAATAAAGCTTTAATCATGTATAATTTTGTTGCTTTACGTCGATTTATAGCAATTTTATCAAAGTTGTGACATTACTTTTGGATCAACCCTCGTACATGTATTATATAATAGCATATTACTATTTCTTTTTTTTAAAGAAATGGGAGAAACTCGATCCATCCCCACCCCAGCCCCCATCCCTTAGAGTACGTGCGTGCTACGAAATATGCGATTCTTTAAAATATCGACCTTTTCCTTACTTACTCGTGTGAGTTTCATTTACATTATAGAATATGTACATGTGTGTAGTTGTACCTTTAAAAACATTATATAGACAAATACAATTTCAGAGAGAGAGAGAGAGAGAGATGAATAAAAACACAGTTACTAAAACATGCGATTAATTTTGAATTGTTTTGAATACATTATTATAATGTTATAAACTTATTGATTGACTTTTTTTCAGTAATTCTCAAATGCACAGTTGGTTTCCTCAGTTAAAATAGTATAGCATAAAGTGATTGAACATTTTTTTTTAGGGGGGGGTATTTTTCTTTAATTCAGGAGGGGGATAACTGTTCATGTTTTATTTTAGCCGCAATTATGTAGCCCTCTCCTATTTTTTTATCTGATATTTTTTTGAGAGGGTCATCCCCCCGGAGGGGGGGGGGGGCTACATTATTGCAGCTAGTTTTATTATAAAAACAAATTCTTTTTAATTATGGACTTGCGTAACTGAAAAATATATTAAAGGATAAATGGGCTTCGTTCGTTATTTACCAAAATTTAGGCGATATACTACTATATATGAATCTTTAACTTTAGTGATATAATGGAGGGCGATTTTCATAATTTGTGGTAGCTGAATAACTGTAGCTCTCTGAAAAATATCTTGATAGCTACAGTGCCACCCACTGAAAAAAAAAACTATATCTATTGTGCACAAAAAAGTGTGCTCGGTTCTAGATTTATTCAAATTCTTACCTCAATTCCCCAAAAAATTAAATTTCGATAATCTCAATTTGAAAATAAAAACTTAACCAAGCCCCCCCCCCTTTCCCCTCCATTCATATGGGTTTTTTTTTCAAGTTTGAGCTGGTTGCCTCTGACTCGTATCCCATTCATAATTCTGAACTCGCCACCGATTTCTAAAAATATTGTAAATATAGTATGTACAAGGACAGACCGCTGTTTGATGCCGGAGAGGGCTTTAAATGTTTTAAAAATGAAAAAAAAAAATACGCCTTACCACTATTCATTTTTTTTTCAAGTTATTACGAAAGAACCTCTGTCACTGAACGCGTTAAATGTAAAATATGCATCCACTTCCTATAACTATGTATAACTGTTGCATAATGCTTCAATTTTAGCAGAAAGCAATGTACATGTATATTCATTTACGTTTAATATGTACTCTGTACAGATTGAAAATAAAGTGACAGTACTTATAAGGGTTGAGGTAAATCATTCACAATTTACTTAAGAAAAGAATAGAGGCATACAAAGTGAGGACTATTCTATTTCCGACTCTCAGTTTTCAAAGTTCGTACATGTCCAGGAAACAATGATTTTCAAAAAATAGTTGATGAGAAATGTCTTTAATTGACACATTTGATTTTTTATTCCAATTATTAAATGGCATAAAGGTTTGGCTTGTCAGGAGGACAAAAATATCCTAACAGTATTTGAATCCTCTAAACATCAAGATATGGCAAAAAAATACACGCGATTTGTTTTAGGTTTTTAATTTCTTGATTAAGACGTTAACCTCTATATTACACGGTCTTCTTATCAGTGTAGAGTTTCAGACTAGCTGGTTTATAAGTAAATGAAGTATATCATTTTTTTTTTGTTTAGAATAAAAAATAACATTTCATACAGAATGCTTTCAGAGTACTTTTATCTTTAAACAATGTATTTATCTTCCGTACATTGTAAATACATACCAGTATGCAAAATGGAAAGTTTACCAATTCATATTCCGAAATAATTTTTGATGGCTATAATACATCCATTTTCCACTACCTATACTTCACAGTAAATCAACCAAATTATCAAGCAGTGAGTAATTTAATTAAAAAAGTAAGAAATCGACCGTATAGCCGTGTACGTTTTGGAGATGACGTTATGCTCAAACAACACAATTTTTTTTGAAATGTCCCTTTCTTTAAATAAAAAAAAATACTTTGTCTCAGATCATGCGCTGAAACAGGATCTTACTCTGGTAAAATTTTACATAACGCAGGTGCGATTTACGTCATTGAAACAACGTTAACCCGCAATTTTCAATAACGCATAACTATTGTAACGTCATTTACGTGTGACGTTACTTCTTTTTGTCAATTCAAAAATTTACGTTGGCAGCAAAAGGTTAAATTAAACATATATCGGGATATAAATACGGGTTGGTCACGAGATTATATTCCATAAAGCCCTTCGGGTTTTATGGTGAATTTAATCTCGTACCAACCCGTATTTATAGCCAGATAGATGTTTTAAAATGATACCTTATTACTTATATTTACATGTGTGACTTATCCATACTTTATCGATTTACCTGATTGTGACTTTTAACGTGTGAAATGCATTATTTGTCAAACCCAACGGCATTTATACAATCCACTGAACGCTCATCGACCTTTTATGACGTCACTGAGAAATTATGTCGAACGATTATCCATATCTATGACCTCTTGACCCCGTACCAGTATTTATACAGTTATAGATACACATTGCTTCCAGTAGTATTATATGAAGGCAAACATTTGCAGATGTAAATATATGATTATATTTACATTCAGTGTAATTTTCTTTATGAAATCTATTAGAAATCCATGACGTTCAAATCTCTATATTTACATTTCGTGTATTTTTCCTTATGGAATTCATTAGAAATCCACGACATTCAAATTTCTATAACACACGCGAAACCTTAATTTGTCACTGCGCGTTAGAATACACAATAGGAACTAAATGCATTTTCTATAATCTCTGAACACAAAAATGTACAGTAAAACTCGTTTAGTACGAACACGGATATAGCGAATTCACGGATATAGCGAAGTTTTTCGGGGTTCCCGGCAATATTCTTAACAATTCTTTGTAAAATTTTACGGTTATAACGAACTCTGATATAGCGAATTTACGGATATAGCGAACTGATTTTGAGTCCCGTAGAGGTAAAATATTATGAAATTTACATCTTTTATAACGAATTTTCAAAAAATCTCAAAAAAAGATATGTTGAACTGACTTTATTTTAGTAAGAATTTGCAAATGAAATTCAATTCATAACGAAAAGCTAAGTTAGCCAAGGCATGTATCGTGATAATTGCTTCCCTACCATATTTGGTAGTATTATTTGAAGGAATATGTGCATATTGCGAATTCGCTATGTATACTTATACGAATTTGCTATACGGATATAACGAATTACGGATATAGCGAATTAAATTCACAGGTCCCCAGGACTTCGCTATAACCGTGTACAATGTTTTGGCTTAATTTAATTAAAAACTGTAATCTTGTTGAATTAACGTAAAAATACTACAAATGTGCGTTTAAAATATGTGTCACTTTTTTTTTCTTCGCAATGTTTGTTTCCGTTATTTAACTTTGCAACGTCGTCTGACGTCACAAACGGCTCTTACGTCTATTAACCACGTAAGTTTTGAAGGGCGCTAAATTCACATTAAATATTAACGAAATAAGCAATTATGAAGAAGAAAAATTAGAGAATGTAAATATGAGCATTGAATTAATATTTTTGGCTGTCTTCGGTCCTATAACACACCTGGCCGTGCCGACAAATTTATCATACCGCGCTAACGCGCGGTATTCAATTTGTCGGCACGGCCAGGTGTGTTATAGGACCGAAGACAGCCAAAAATATTAATTCAATGCTTAAATAACACACGCGAAACCGTGTCACTGAGTGTTAGAATAAACAGTAGGAACTATATGCATTTTCAATACTTTATGATTATCATACCGCGCTAACGCGCGGTATTCAATTTGTCGGCACGGCCAGGTGTGTTATAGGACCGAAGACATCCCACAATATGAATTCAATACTTAAGTAAATACCATTTCATGTGCAATACATGATACGCAATGCATGGTTACTGAAACGTATGGCTGAGGAACTGGTGGAATTTTTTTTCACATTAAAGTATTTTCATCCTCATATGATGTCATAGGTTTTTGCAAAAAAAAACTGTAATTAATTTAAATTTATATCAAATAAAACATCTTTTTGAAGAATGTTTTTTAACAGGTGTGATGATAAAAAATGTTAAGTAACTAGAATTTAATTAAAAGATGTACATGCATATGACCGAAAGGTCTTAAAATACGTTTTTGAAATTGACGCTTTTCGAAAAGGCAAATGCGTTTCACTCTAGTTCTGAATTATATTTATCTAATGCCTTTCCTCTAAAGAAATGCATGTATTTTCGTGATGTTATTTCTTTATAAACATAATTGATACTATTTGACATCAGATCATGACAAAGCGCTGCAACAGGTTAATGTCAGACCCTCTGTTAAACAGCTGTTTTACAAAAGTCTTCAAATCAAGGTTATGTAAATGAATACTTTTACCTGCAGTTCCCGTGTATCCGGATACTGTGAGTCGGTATTTATCAGCCTCGTTTCCGATATAAAACGTGGAATATTCAGCATACGCTGTGTCCCCATTAAATCTCTGGAGATCTATTCGCAGTTCCTGGTCCTGATCTTTGGTTAATACATGGATTGCATCATTCCCTTAATGACAATTAGTAAAAACCATTGATATTAATGTTTATGACTATTGATTAGTATATGATTTTATCCTAATTGTTTGAAATAATTTATATAAAAAAATTACACATGATAATCTAACAACCAAGCTTCATGATAAACGTGATGACTTTTACTTTTCTACTGTCAACTTCCCTTACTTATGCAGCAATATATACCTTCATCACCTGCATAAAATGTTTATATATTACAGTTGATTCAATACGCAAAAGCATGCTCTACGTATAAACAATTTCTAAAACGAGGTAAATTATTCACAAACAAGTTGATGAAACAAGAAATATCAGCAGTCTCGTTTAAAGTCATCATTTCGTAAGTTCTGTGACCTTGTCAGCAAATACAATTTATCATTGAATCAAATGCTGACTAACGTTTTTCATACTTATGGTTACCCCATTATTTATTCAAAAAATTGATGACGGGTTTTTCCGTTATTTCCCGACATAACAAGGAGCACACGGCGGATGTGACCGGTCAGCAGGGGATGCCCACTCCTCCATGGCACCTGACCCAACCTCTGATGTTTTGGAGGTCCGTGTTTGTTATGCTCCTATTTTTTTTATTGTTTTATGGACTTTGATATTGAATATTGTTCGTTATCTCCACATCCTTCCTTGATATCCACAGAACAAGTTACACAAAACAGTTAGAGTCGGAAGTTCCTATTTTTTGGAGAGATTGTGCTAAAAGAAATATAACACTTTAAAGTAGTTGGACCATTTTACAATAACTTGTTTTGTAAATCAAAGTTGATTAAATCTTCTAAGTTTCATTTCGACTAAGTGTTGTGAGGTGTCTGATAATTTTATAATATTTGTTTAGTATTGTTTATATTAAGAACAGAAGGTTCAAGATTGGTCAAGGCCTGTGACTATTTTTTCTAGAACATTCTTGAATCTTGAATTTCGTGTTATGTCCACATTTTGTATTTGCATTTAAAAAAAAAGAATTATCTATAGATTTTGCATAGATTAAATTCACTGTCACTTTGTATGCTAGTGCAAAACTGTCGTTCAAAAGATCAGGTGTTCAAAGAGCAAACAGTGTTCCTAAGAGGGTAGAGTACCAAAGAGTGTAGAGTACATAGAAGAGTACAAAAGAGCATAGATTCCCAAAAATATTAAAGTATCAAATAGAGTAGAGTATGAAAGAGAGTAAAATACCAATGACTGTAGAGAACCAAAGAGAGTAGAGTACCAAAGAGAGTAGAGTGCCTAAGAGAGTAGAATACCAAAGAGAGTAGAGTACCAAAGAGAGTAGAGTACCTAAGAAAGTAGAGTACTAAAGAGAGTAGAGTACAAAAGAGAGTAGGGTACCAAAGAGAGTAGAGTACCTAAGAGAGTAGAGTGCCTAAGAGAATAGAGTACCAAAGAGAGTAGGAAACCAAAGAGTGTAGAGTGCAAAAGAGAGTAGAGCACCAAAGAGAGTAGAGTACCGAAGAAAATAGAGTACCTTAGAGAGTAGAGAACCAAATAGAGTAGAGTCCAAAAAGTTATGACTACTAAAGAGAGTGGAATACCAAAAAGATTGGAGTTCCAAAAAGATCAGAGTGCCCAAAAAAATAGAGTGCCTAAAAGAGTAGACTGCCAAAAAGAGTAGAGCACCTAAGAAAGAAGAGTATCAAAGAGAGAAGAGTACTAAAGAGAGTGGAGTACCAAAGAGAATAAGGTACCAAAGAGAGTACAGTAACAAAGAGAGTAAAGAACCTAAGACAGTAGAGTACGAACCTTAGAGAGTAGAGTACCCTAGTGACTAGAGTGCCAAAGATTGTAGAGTACCAAAGACAGAGGAGAGTACCTTAGAGAGTAGAGTACAAAAAAGAATAGAGAATCAAACAAAGTTGAGTACCAAAGAGAGTAGAGTACTTAAGTGACTAGAGTACCAAAAAGAGTAGAGTACCAAAGAGCGTTGAGTACCTAAGAGAGAAGAGTACCTAAGAGAGAAGAGTACTTAAGAGGATAGAGAACCAAAAAGAATAAACTTCCAAAGAGAGTAGAGTACCTAAGACAGTAAAGTACCAAAGAGAGTAGAGAACCAAAGAGAGTTGAGAACGAAAGAGAGTAGAGTACCTATGAGAGAAGAGTACGAAAGAGAGTAAAGTACCAAAAAGATTAGAGTACCAAAGAGCGTTGAGTACCTAAGAGAGAAGAGTACCTAAGAGAGAAGAGTACGAAAAAGAGTAGAGTACCAAAAAGAGTAGAGTACCAAAGACAATAGAGAACCATAGAGAGAAGAGTACATAAGAGAGTAGAGAACCAAAGAGAGAAGAGTAACTAAGAGAGTCCCCATATAGAGTATAGTACCAAAGAGAGTCGAATATTAAAGAGAGTAGAGTATCAAATAGAGTAGAGTACCAAAGAGAGTAGAGTGCCTAAGAGAGTAGAGTACCAAAGAGAATAGAGTATTTAAGAGAGAAGAATACCTAAGAGAGTAGAGTACCATAGACAGAAGAGTAATAAGGAGAATAGAGTATCTAAGAGAAAAGCGTTACTGAGAGATTAGAGTACCATAGACAGAAGAGTACCAAAGAGAGAAGAATACTATAGACAGAAGAGTATCAAAGAGAGTAGAGCACCAAAACGAGTTGACAACCAAAGAGCGTAGAGTACCAAAGAGAGTAGAGTACTTGAGAGAGTAGAGTGCTTAAGAGAGTTGAGTACCAAAAAGAGTAGAGTACCTAAGAGAATAGAGTACTTAAGAGAGTAGAGTACGAAAGAGAGTAGAGTACCAAAAAGAGTAGAGAACCAAAGACAGTATAGAAAAATAGAGAGTAGAGTACCTAAGAGAGTAGAGTACCAAAGAGAGTAGAGTACCTTAGAGAGTAGAGTACATAAGAGAGTAGAGAACCAAAGAGAGAAGAGTAACTAAGAGAGTAGAGTATTTAAGACAGTAGAGTACTAAAGAGAGTAGAGTACCAAAGAGAGTTACGTACCTTTGAGAAGAGTACCAAAGAGAGTAGAGTACCAAAGACAGTAGCATATCAAAGAGAGTAGAATATCAAATAGAGTAGAGTACCAAAGAGAGTAGAGTACCTAAGAAAGTAGAGAACCTAAGAAAGTAGAGTATCTAAGAGAGTAGAGTACCTAAGAGAGTAGAGTACCAAAGAGAGTAGCAAACCTTAGAGAGTAGAGTACCTAAGAGAGTAGAAAACCAAAAGAGAAAAGTACCTAAGAGAGTGGAGTACCTAAGAGAGTAGAGTACCAAGTAGAGTAGAGTACCTTAGAGAGAAGAGTATTTAACAGAGTAGAGTACCAAATAGAGTAGAGCAGGGTTCTCCTTGAACTGTTTTACTGTGTTGCTCCCGACACAGTAAAATTTTCTCCGACACAGTAACGATTCAAATTTTATGCGTGCGACAAAGTAAAAATTTTGCCGACACAGTAAAATCTTTGAAATTCTAAACACACAAATTCTATCTCACTGAAACTTTAATCAAACAATTCTACCGTCTTTCAATTCTATAAGGTAGATCACTTAATTACTAGGGCTTCATCCTGCATGATCAATTATCTCCTAGACCCTCGCCGGACTTTACTCATGAAGGAACAAAGACAAATAATCTGCGTTTCAAACTTACATGTTACGGTTAATTGGTACATGTAGTTACATTAAAATAGATTGCATTATTCTTTTTTTTATTCTTTTCTTAAAAAAAATATATAATTACGTCTTTTATATAGAGCCACGGCTCTTGAAATATGTATAAAGCACTGCAAGTCAAACATAAGTCGTACCAGAATCATCTAATAGATGTAAATAAATTGCTTAAAATATTCAACAATGGAACTCTTAAAAGTATTTTATCATTCTGAAGTTTCTCTTTTTTTGTAATTCAGTAATTCGATCAAGAAAACTGACAAATAATCACGGCAGAATTACATTTAAAAATGTTAAGTTTACGTAGTTCAAATGTATCGATCAGAATTTCCTCTGCTTTTCAGAACAAGTGTTTTTACTGTGATCAATATATACGACCAAAACATTTGTGTAACAAATTACACTTATTTTAAAAAGTTTGTGCATGTATAATGAATAGTGATTCAGAACTTTGCGAATTTGATCGCGAAAATACCGCGAAATTTTAGCCCTTCGCGGAAACTCTGCAACACAGTAAAATTAAAAATGATGGAGAACTCTGGAGTAGAGTACCAAAGAGAGTAGAGTCCCTAAGACAGTAGAGAACTAAAGAGAGATGAGTAACAAAGAGAGTAGAGTACCCAAGAGAGTAGAGTACCAAAGACAGTAGAGTATCTAAGAGAGTAGAGTACCTAAGAGAGTAGAGTACCTAAGAAAGAAGAGTACCTAATAGAGTAGAGTATCAAAGAGAGTAGAGTTAAACGAGTAGAGTATCTTAGAGACTTGAATTCCAAAGAGGATAGCGTACAAAAAGAGACTTGAATACATAAGAGAGTAGAGTTCCAAAGAGAGTATAGTACCTAAGAGGGCTGAGTACCTAGGAGAGTAGTGTTCCTAAGAGAGAAGAGTAATAAAGAGAGTAGAGTATCAAGGAGAATAGAGTACCTATGAGACACTGGGATAGAATACTCTAAGTGGGACATTTTGTGTGTAGAAACTGTCACTCTTTTGTATGAATCTTTGGATTCTTCTTGTAAGTTTGTATTATTTTATTTCTTTATATTTCTGTAAATAAATTGTAATATTTTAAATTAAGTGTAAACTGTGTGAATGATTTTTGCTGACTAAAAGGTTATTCTGACCCATAACATAAGAAATTCACTTGATTACTATGTAGCTAATTTATTTAAGATAAAAGCTGTTTTTGTCATTGCTGATTGACTGTTTAATTGCGCTTATTTCTTCGTTTAGGTTTTCATTATTAAAATTTTTACAATTTTCAATGGAGATTGCAAACTTATACTGTCATTAAACTAAGACGGGTAAGCATAATAACACATTGTATCAGACACGTTTGACAGTGCTTAACTTTTCTTATATTTGTATGAAAGAGTCAGTGTTATATAATAAATAACCACAAGTAGCTTAGGGTAACAATGTAAATTTTCATCCCTCGAAAACCATTTTAACCTTGGGTCATTTTCAGTTGACAATGGGTTTATCAGGGTTAAACTTTTCAATGTTTCCCACAACTACAAACATGCAGTATAAATATCAACAATGAATTTTCATTTCAAAGTATGTATTCTTACCAATCCAGTAGTTGTTCTTTGGATCCCCAAAACCTTTTTTATATTCTTCCCAAGTTCGATAGAAATCAGTTGATCCGTCTATTCTTTTCTGTATAACCTATAAATACGATAAAAGGCTTTTATCTATTGCTACTAACTTTCAGATACAGACCTTTCTTTCAGTTTGAAAAATTGATCATTTATTTCGATTCATGTGTACCATCTATCCATACATAAAAAGATAAATCTATAGCATAAAAGTATGAAAACAAACTTAGATAATTAAAAATGCATATAGAAAAAAAACTTACAAACAAACATAAATACAAATAATTAAACTTTACAGGCAAACATGCATTTATATTTAGAAATAAACATACTAGTACACGTATTCACACAAACTTATATGTAAACATACATGTATACCTGCAAACGGACATATAAATATACATGTATAATTACAAACCTACATGCAAAAATTCACACATATACATATTCCGTCATAATATGTTGACCGTTCGACGTTTAGAGCGAGCGCAAACTCTTCTATTGCTTTAATTAAGATCGGGCTCGTCAAAACGCACGTGACATTTGGTGCATTTAGACTCTGACGTCACAATACGTCCTTTGTGAGTTGCAATACCAAGAAAAAAACCTGAACAAGGTGTGAAAATTAATGAATAACGTTTAGTTTACTATTTATCTTCAATACATATCCATTAAATCAAGGCGAGTAAACTTTTTATTGAACATTTGTCGTTATTCTCGCGAGAACGTAGCTAAAGCAAGTGATGCATTGTGGGTCTAAATTACTGCGTCAAAAAATACTACCGAATGAATGTTCTAATATGTTGACGGTGCGACCGTTAGGACGAGCGCAGATACTTATCATATGACGTCGTTTCACTCGTTTGCATGTTGCTTTACCAAACCGAAGTCTGGTTTCAATCAGTATATGATTATTTTTCTGCAATAAACAGATGAATTCATTAAATCAAGGCAAGTTTATTTTTCTTTTAACTTCTGTCATTATTCTCACGAGAACGTGGCTTTAGGGTTTGTGTACGAAGCGATGCATTGTGGGTCAAAGTTACTGCGGCAAAAAAATTAGGGAATGAATGTGCAGTAGTCCGAATTTTCTCTTCGCCCAGGCGTTGTCGTTAGAGCTCACAGTTACGAGCTTCGCGACGCTCCTTGCGCTCGCTACTAACATTTCTCTTCGCACAGGTGTTGCTTTAAGAGCTCGCAGTGACGAGCGTCGCTTCGCGACACTCGCTGCATGCGCTAGCTATTAATATACACGCATACACTCTCTCACACAAACAAACACACACGAAGTAATCTGTATCACGTGACCTATTTGTACCTACCGTCCATCCGCCTCCATCCGTGGTCATGTCACAAAAGACGGAAGTGATGTCAGAATTAATCGAAATCTTATATACGCCATCTTTTCCTTTCAATGATTTGTTTTGTTCAAGGACATTGTAGCATGATTTCGGTTGCAATATTAATTCAACTGCAAAAAATAAAAAAAAAGCGGTTGTTTTACCTTCAATTAAAAAAAACATCTCCCAGATAATAGTATATCATATAGGCCTAAATGGTTTCAGCAAAAAGGATAGGTTAGAAGACGGACGAAAAATTGATCTTAGTAGAAAATGTACAATTTTATATACAGTGTATATCAGGATTTTAATTGATTGATTGTACGTTCTTTAACCTATATAGAATGTTTCGCTTATTAAGAGACATCACGATATACCGAGAAGACCTTCAAACTTCTGCAACCGTTCACGGTAGCTCAATTGGTAGAGCGCTCGCTGCGTGCTCGGGAGGTCGTGACTTCGCATCTCAGCCGCGACTGACCTAAGACGATAAAATACGGGTAACAACTGTTCCTTCGCGATGCCCTCGGCACTTGAAGTGAAAGTTTCGGGTCCTTCGTATGAGCCCTTAAAAACCGGAGCCTCATGTCACGGCAGACGTTGGCAAGATGAAGATCCCTCACTGCTCAATGGCCCTGAGTGCCGAGTAAAGGTCAAAATTGGATGCCCTTCACCGGCATACGGTGACGTCTCCATATGAATGAAAAATTTTCGAGAGGGACGTTAAACAATATACAATCAATCAATCAAACTTTTGCAAACTTCTCTCGAGACACGAGACTTCGATTTTTGAGCGGCGAATGTATTTTATTGACCTAACTCCTGCCGAGGAACAGATCTTTGCTTTTTTAGGTCTAATCTAAAGACCAATAATTTCACTTCAATGCCGAGCGTTTGGCAGGCACAGAAGAGTCACCACTTAAGTTTGCGCAGAAGGTTTGACGCTAGTGGCACTGCCAATGAAAATTGAACCCCAGCAAGGATCTTAGGATTTTGACTAGTTTATAAATATACCAATTTCATTCTTTCAATTCTTTATATTTGTGTCGTGTATCCTACATAAGTGATATTGTACGCAATATTGCATTGATTTTACCTTGGTTATCTAAGTAAATTACTGCATGATAAAATGATTTATAACTTTAAGACTGTTCTCGTTAACGTAAATACATATTACTAAATATGTATCAAATAAGCTTGACTGTATATAGGAAGAAGTCATCAAATGTACTTCATCACAATTTATGCCTTTTGAAATACGATATATATGGTATCTGAAAACTCAAGATCATTTCGTGCATCTCACATAATTCATATTTGTAGGTTCTATTCAAAACTGAAGTTTGTTTCGATGAATATTCCTCTACTCAAGCTGTCGTATTGATTCTAAGATTTGATGAGACATGGTTGCTAACAAAAATCTTTTCCCCATCACTTTCAGATCTGCGGTTTAAAATAAGAACAACTTTATGTTTGGCTGAGAAAAAACAAAACACGTAACAAAAATAAGTTATTGCTATCAAGCTAAAACATACTTTCATCAATAGGAATTTGTCAATGTGAACTCAAAGACAGTATATCACATCATAATTAAGTTTTGAAACTTATAAACAAGGAACTTAGGTTAGAAGGATAAATGATCCAAAAAGATCGGATGAATTTTAAGACAATTTTATGATTATTAAATAAATAACTTTATTTTGTCCTCTGCAAAACGTGGGTATAAAGGGATAAGCTATCAAATATCAAAATATGAACAATTCATTTCAGTTTTTTTATTTGATTATTTTTTTTGTGCTATGAGGATTAAAGTTATGTTGTTAAGATTCCAAGGAAACAAATAAATAAGAACATAACACTATTAAGAGGAATATCTACTTAAAATACAACTTACCATTAGACAGAGAAGAAGAAACGTTCAAAACCTGTTGATTAAGAACTCTATGATCCTCGAGTAATCCATCCAGGGTCTCATTGATTGATATTGAGTAGTCCCTAAAACTATTTTCCATCTTTTGAAACCGTCCCTTATATAAGGAACCTTTGAGTTCTCTTAGAGTATTTCTTACGTCATTTAGTTGTTCTCTAAATAATTCATTATCTGTTGAAAATATTTTGGATTTATTTCCGACATCCAGTTCTCTATTTTTAATTTGCTTAATTTCTTCCTGTAAAACATTGTAAGAAACGTTTAACAATGAAATGGTTTTGTTCTGCATCTCCAACTGCTGCTTTATTTTTCTGTTTTCCACCAGTAATTCTTGACTTTCTTTCTGGAGAACTGAAGCCTTATTTGTTATTGACACTAATTCCCCATCCTTTAACTCTTGAATTGTGTCAATAGTCCGATCTTGGTTACTTCTTACTGTCTCATTCAATGCGTTAAACATCTGTTTTAGTTTTGTAACCTCTGTTTCCATACCGTTGTCTCTTGTCTCTAGATCCTTTAACTCCTTTGTTAAAATTTTCATTTTATGCTTCACCACCTGAGAATTATTTTTGCTCTCTATAACGTCCATTACTAAGTTTTGCATTCTCTGAACCATAGAAAACCTCACTAGGCTCTCCTGGTTCAGGATATCCCGTAAAATACTGGACACCTTTCCTTCCGACGTCGTACTTCCGTCCAAAATAGATTTCTCTAGAATATTACTATCAGCAGAGACTTGTCCCACATTCAGGTAAATTATAAGACACACTAGACTCTGTAGAATATCCATTTTGTCAAGTCGTTTTCTTTTGCTTGCAAGTCAGGACTGAAAGTAACATTCTGGCAAAGAAAAAGTATATTTATATCAAATAGGACAATATAATAGGGATTTTTTACTCTTCATGTGCCAAGACATTGACGTAATCCCATCTTTTGAGGTTATACGCACAGGTCACAGATATCAAAAACCTGCTTATTATATTTTTATGCTTGAATAACAAAACAGATAAGTTGTACTTTTAGTGATATTTAACAGCATGGTACATCCTCATTTGCATTAGTTGATTAAGAAAGTTATATAACATCAAAAAGATTTATTATCTCTTGCAGACTAGTATATTGAAACAAACTTAGCATCTGTTTCAATTACCTGTAATGGGATCCTGGTTTTCATTATTCAATATAAAAAAATGAAAGAATATTTATCTTACAAAGACGAAGGGATAACACAGAATGATCATTTAAATTCTTTCTTTGGTGCAAGGTTATTTGTGAATTAGGATAAAAATAAATACTAATGAAAAACAAAACATGATGAGAAAGTATTTGCCTAGAACTATAAAATTTACAAAGAAAGGGCTTTGACGTTAAAAGGGACACTAAGATTTTGTGAACATCGTCTTTGTTAAAAAACAAGGACAGTTCTGAAATATTGGAGATATTCCAAGGTAATTAGCCATGTGTTTTATATGCTGGATCATCAAATAATCAAAGTACTGAGAGCACTGATAGATGCTGAAATGAATGTATTGATTGTTTGCTTTTGTTTTCTTGTCATGTTTTACGGCCTTTCGAAGATAATTCATTCCTATTCAGACGTCACCACTTGCTGGTGGAGGACTGCAAATATTGACCTGTACTTATCACTTACGGTTTTGAGCAGTGACGGATCATGCTCGTACTAGCAGTTACTGTAACAAGGGCATTAATGTCTCACAGTGGGTTTATACTCATTATATTAGAGATATGTAAAACATGTTAATTACATAAAGCTTTCGGGTTCATTCTACACAGTAAAATATGTATATACGATAAATGTTTAAAAAAAACCATGTCCTTATTGTGTAATGTTTTCAAAACAATTTATATATTGTTCATAATTAAAGGATGGAATACTCGTACTGTCAAACCTACATAAAGCAAAGAGCAAGGAACAAACACATTTGTCTGGGTTTTAACGTAATTTATTAGATTCGTTTAGATAAAATTACTTTTCAAAATCATGGGAAATTGGAATAAACTTTCTTGATGTTAATTCGTTATAAACTGTAGGCGTGTTTTACTAATATCGTTCTCAGAAAAAACACGATTGTTGTCCGTCACAAAAAAAGAATATAAACACTAGAAAGTACACAAATAAGTCATTGAAAGTAGGTTCCTTGTATTTCGTACAGAAAATCATTTTATAGGACTGATTTAACATTAACGCGTGCGTTTGTGTCTTATCATCATGACAGTCCTTTGTAGTGCTCTATATCCGTTTGTCCAGCGATACCAATACGGGCATTTATAGCTAGTGACCGCGGACAGTGCATACTTCCCGTTAAGATTTGAGTTTGTACATCCACTGTACCACCATGCTCCATGATGATTTATAGCACAGTTGTAACTAGCTTGATCATTATCCTGGTCCTTTGTACTGAATCTCATACCATTATGTGGACCCAGACTGTCACCTACAGCAGGAATGGGAAACAATAACTGATATATGTGTAGAATTACTGATTCTCATACCATTATGTGGATACAAACTTTCACCTACAACAGGAATGGGAAACAATAACTGATATAGGTGTAGAATTACTGAATCTCATACCATTATGTGGACCCAAACTGTCACCTACAGCAGGAAAGGGAAACAATAATATATGTGTAGAATTACTGAATCTCATACCATTATGTGGACCCAAACTGTCACCTACAGCAGGAATGGGAAACAATAACTGATATACGTGTAGAATTACTGAATCTCATACCATTATGTGGACCCAAACTAACACCTACAGCAGGAATTGGAAACAATAACTGATATATGTGTAGAATTAATAGTAAAAGATCTTGAGGTAAAAAAAAATTCAACTCTATTTCATGGAGCTATATTTGGATGCCGATTGAATACATGTAGCACCTCCTTACATGTCTATCACAATTAAGTAAATCAAACAAATCGAAATCCAGTACTTAATTAATAAGTATGATAAACAAAATTTGATGTATTCTTTATTTATATTCGCTAAGCAGATTAAATGTAATCAAGATTTGTGTATTAAAATTTACACTGCTAGCAAATTCATCGTTTATTCGTAAACATGTAATATAATGTCTACTATTATAAAATCAAATCAATTCACGTTAACCTAACTGATGTTCCATGGATGTTTTTAAGAACGATAAATAACTTATCATTGTAATTCTTCATAATTATTGTTGTGATCAGCTGAAATGACTTAATGATTATAATGATATTTACAATAATGTTATTTGAATATCAAAATTATTCGACATTTATATCCACAGGGTAGGGTATTTTGCTGCGGACGGTTATCCTTAGACTCTATAAATGACAAATGTGTTGCAACATAGCCGTAAAATACGTTATTCCAATAAAAAAAAAATACCCGCATTTCCCGTGTAACCGGACACTGTGAGTTGGTATTTATCAGCCTCGTTTCCGATATAAAATGTTGAATATTCAGCAACGCCGTGTCCCCGTTAAATTTCTGGAGATCCACTCGTAGATCTTGGTCCTGATCTTTGGTTAAAGCATGGATGGCGTCATTCCCTGTGAAATAATTGTATAAAATAGATGAAAGACCTTTGATTTAGATCTTGTTTTCTTCAAGAATAAAGACTTATTCTTAAAACATATACTGTTGAGAAAAGGACCTTGACCGAAAGTTATGTCGTTATTGAAAAAGTGTTGCACTTCAACCCAAATAGTTGAAGATGAGTCAAATAAGATGTTTTATTAAATTAAAAGTAAAGAATTATTGTAAGTATACACGTCTTATATCTTAAAATTGTTCACTGATTTATTTTAAAAAGTATGTCTTCTTAAAGGTACACTGTATATCAGTCATGCCATTTGTTATATCAATAATTTTGTTAGAAGTCTTTTTGTGAGTTGAACTATGTTCAATCTCCCATGGTCATCACGCATTTAACATGCGCAGTAATTTGTGTTGATTATATAGAGCCGAAAGCAAGGTTACTGTGTCTTCTGATTTACTCCGATGATATTCAACAGAAAACATGCACAAACATCCGCCACAAATAGTTCATGTCATTTTCTCCTGAATTGATCTAATTTTTATAATTTGAAATGCAAGTAAATGTAATGACAAAGTTATCTTATTTTCAATATTAGATTTCGTTCAAAGGAAAACTAAATTATAAAGAACCTCAAAAGTTTTTCGTAAAGGAACTCATTTTTAGTATAACGTCATCTATAACACTGAAAGAGATACGAACGTCAACTCTACATACCAACGGCAAGCGGTAAATCTAGTCTTCCCGACGGTCCAGAATTTTTAGCAATTTCTTTTTTTTACAGGTGCACAGAATTTAATCAAACTTTTCATGAACATTTTCTTGGTTTAAATGAATTCATTAATGCATAAAAACTTTTGGAAACATTCGTATTTATTACTAAATCAGCAGTATCACCTGCCAAAAAGCGGTAAATCTAGTACGCTGTTATAAATGTTAAAACCAAAAACGGACACCGATGTTTTCGTAGAATAGCGATTAAAACAACAAAATGAAGTACGTATATATTTTTTTGAATAAAGGAAAACCATTTACATACCAGATAATTTGTACGCACACAAACTCTCACATATACCACTGTTTTCATGTTTGGTCATTTTAAAAATATTTGTTTTTAACTTGGTATTGCTTTTTTTTTCACAATACGACGGTCATTCAAAAAGTTCGTAGACTTTTGTCCTAACTTTTTTATTTAACGTCATATTATATTCAAATTTGGTACAAATGTTTTAACAACTGATTCAAATAATTTGAGTAAAAAAATTGGAATGTATCTTCATATTTATTAAAATTACGAAGGATTTAGAACAGCAAAAATGGGGTCACGGAGCACCGTCAAAATTGAGTAATTTTCTAATTTTCACTTTATAGTATTTACAGCTATACCTTTAATAATTGGAGCTGAAACGAGATAGAATTTATATGTTTAAATAAAGTATTGCTATAATAATTTAAATGAAATCAGGTTATGTAATATCTCGCTCCATTTAAAAGATATCAGCTTCTAAATACATATGGACTTGATTAAAAAAGGCAAAAAACCATGACGCTGGAGGACGTCACGGAGCAGCAAGTAGCAGTAAAATTAGACTTTACATTCGGGAAACTTCTTCTACAAGCTTAAAAAATCCTTATAAACCAGGATCTGTATGAAAAATAATCTGTGTATTTGTATTAAATTGAAAATACAATTTTTGAGTGGTAGCGAGTTTGAATCGGACGATGGATCGACTGCAAATAAACAGGTTAAAGTTAAAAATATTGTCAAAAGAGTTAGGAACGTCATTGAACGTAATATGTGCTTTAATGTTGCAGAAATAATAGAGTTGCATGGTAAATTAAAGAATTTGAAAACAATAATATTCTAATTCAAGCTATATTTGTACAATTGTTAGCAAGCTAGGTGTTAAGTGTTGTGGATATGTGTTTTGAATGGAGAAGACGCTACTAACCATGTTTGAAATATAAAAAAAAGAGTATACTTTTGACATACTTTCTCAGCGTTGAATTTGACGTTACAATATTGGTAAACCGTGCTCCATGGTAACAAAACATGTTGCCTTAAATTTTGGCTAACATGAGTTATATTTAATCAAATGGAATGAAACTTCACACTTCGACAATATAAATGTTTATGTTTACGAAAATGTGTTGATATATAATCTTGTAATAATCATATGACGATGAGAAGCATTGTCTACGTATTTTTTGAATGACCCTCGTATTAAAAAAATTTAAGTTCTGACGTACTCCATGTATAATGTTCGTGTAATGGAAATACATTTATATCCACAGAGAAGTTTTATATAACAAACCTGTTAGCTCTTAAAAGGATGCTGTGTGAAAATCCACATTTTATCAACATTGATATTATTCCTGTGAAACTGAAATGTTCATAACACATGGGTTAAGGTGCCAAGGAAAGATATATTACAAATCTGAAGAAGAGGTAATGTGAGCAGTGAATTATATAAATGATCAACCGCCTCTAATATGAATATAATGGCAGTGTCCATGTTTTGCAATGGGAAACCATTTCAATATATGTGTAGGATGAAAAAGTAATAGAAGGTGCACAGCGTAACGGCAATATGTAGTAAAGATTCTTTGAAAATTTCATTCAGTGGTGTAAGAGGAGTTGCGGATAAGAGATGGGTATACCTAAAGCGTAACAAACAGATGGACTGGTATCCCGATTAATAAATAACATCCCGCTTTTCAAGCAGGAGGTATAAAAAAGGACTAATGTAGGCAGGCAAGCATTATGGCCCATGCATATTTTTGCTATTCAATGTCTCTAATGTCTTTCTCAAGATTGTTGCAACACAAAAAATCTGAAACAGTTGTCTGTATTTGAAATAATAATATTGTTCAATCACTTAACCTCCCAATCAAAGATTTTATTTTACACCATGTTCAACTCCAATGAGTACTTTCAGTACTTTGATTTGAATAAGTACTCATAAAGAATGAATCAAAATCGCAGAGAAAACAGAGGGTCAGCGTGCATCTTACTGAGCTACTGTACAATTAAGTTGACATTTTTGCGCCTAAATTATATCTTCATTTGTTTGCTGAGGGAAGGTGTAAAATTTGTCCTAAAACATAAATTGAGACCTATATTTAATATTCCTTCCAGATCAAAAGGGAAATTATTCTCCGAGTAAAAGTATGCGAGGCTAAAGTTCCAAGATATTTAATTTAATAAATGTGCAGATTTACAGAATTTTCTGCTAAATATCCACCCACTACGAGAAATAGTCCCGCATATATCATATATATAATGGTTTTCTGAGCAGTTTTATATTGAATTGTGATTGTTCAATTTAAATATGCCATTAAAACTGAATTATGATAAACAGTTTTGAAGAAATACATTCTAACTATGCTTTACTAAAAAACTGACAAGTGACCTATCTTATGTATAAAATCAGTTTGCGCTTCCTTAATTGCAAGCACTCTTCTTTTAATTTTCAGTCATTATTTTAAACTTGAATATGCCAACAAAGGAATTTAAGTTTAAGTTCGGTTTAAGTAATATTCTCAATAACAAAAGGACCCAGTCCTGCAGTCCATCATATTTCAAGCTTAAGTATAAGATAACTCCTTCTATACCCAATGACAACTACTTCCAAACTTTTTATTACAAGGAAAAATTACAGGGCCAGGATATTGAACATCTACACATAAAATTCCAGTCTTTTTTATATCAATGACAGCTGTTTTTTCAACAAGAGGCCCATGGGCCACAACGCTCACCTGAGCCGCCTTGGCTTAACTGTTTTTTACAGGATTAAAAATGAAGCCCCTAATTTATTCCCAAAAATACATTTATCTCATAGATTTGTGGCCTCTTTAGTACTAAGTAAATGAAATCCACACACGATGGGAATTCATTTTCAAATGAACTATCTGTTTACTTAAGGAGTCGCTTTTAATATGCTAGGCCTATTCCTTAGATTGTCCAAGAGGTTTGATAAAATAATTTTATAATCTTATTCATTTTTTTCTGCTTCCATCAATAAAAAAATGCAATTTTAAGATTGTTTTAAAAATTTTATTTATTACAAAAATTATAACAAATCTTGTTCATAATTAGAGTGAAAATGTTATACATTAGTACAAATACAAAATTGGATTTTGATACATTCTGAACATATAATATGAAATGTGACACTTGATGAAAATGAAGACATGTCTTACTAGTTACAAGTCAAGAGCTTGTATTCAGTATCAATTTTAAACAAGATTGAACATGAAAATGAATGTTTTATGAAAAATAAAACAGCATACAAATTTTAACAATCCAGTCATAATATACATATGTCTTAAATATGTTGTTTACATTAAAAAAACATAATCATCACTCAATAACCTTTCCCAACGAAAACCGAACAAGAGGCCCATGGGCCACATCGCTCACCTGAGAAGCTTTGACCATTCTGTTCTTTACCAGATTTCACCTTTGTTATACATAATGCATCCCAACATTACCCCACTGATCATAATTTAGACATTTTGAAATCTACACTACCCCATGATCCTTCCATTGGCACATATGTTTCAGCTTTTTTGGCCCAGTGGTTCCTGAGAAGAAGATTTTCAAAGATTTTTCCTATATATTTCTATATAAAACTTTCATTCCCTATAATGGCCCCGGCCTTCCCCCAGGGGTCATGATTCCTACAATTTAGAATTTACACTACCCCAGAATGCTTCCACATAAGTTTCAGCTTTTCTGGCCCAGTGGTTCTTGAGAAGAAGATTTTCAAAGATTTTTTCCTATATATTTCTATATAAAACTTTGATTCCCCATTGTGGCCCCGCCCTTCCCCCGGGGGTCATGATTGAACAATTTGGAATCTACACTATACCAGGATGCTTCCACATAAAGTTCAGCTTTTCTGGCCCAGTGGTTCTTGAGAAGAAGATTTTCAAAGATTTTTCCTATATATTTCTATGTAAAACTTTGATTCCCCATTGTGGCCCCACCCATCCCCCGGGGGTCATTATTTGAACAATTCAGAATCTACATTATACCAGGATGCTTCCACATAAGTTTCAGCTTTTTCTGGCCCAGTGGTTCTTGAGAAGAAGATTTTCAAAGATTTTTCCTATATATTTCTATATAAAACTTTGATCCCCCATTGTGGCCCCGCCCTTCCCCCGGGGGTCATGATTTGAACAATTTAGAATCTACACTATACC